GGGGGGAGCTTTTGTGTACATGTCTGGGGTATGACTTGGGGCGGGGGTGCCTGCGTGTACATGCCTGGGGGTGGCTCTAGCGGGAAGCTTTTATGTACACACCTGGGGTGGGGGCACCCCTTTGTACACCCTGGGGGGAGATCCCCGGGAGACTGCAAAGCAAAGTGCTTCCCCCCTCCCTCTTCCTCCTGCTGCTTCCTCTTCCTCCTCCTCCTCCTCCTCCCCCTCCCGCTGCTGTTGCCGCCGCCTGGAAACTTTGCCCATTGTCCCTCCCCGCGCCCCCCCACGGGGACCCCAACGTGGTGGAGGCCCGGGGTGGGTCGGGGGTGTGCGGGAGCCTGCAGAACAAAGGAGCAGCGGAGCAGCCCTGCCCTGCTCCTGCCCTCTGCATCCCCTCTCCTGGGGGCCGGGTTCCCCCTTCCCCTCCGATCCACGCGCCGGGCTGCACCTCCGCCTGCGGGTAACAGCTCTTTGTGTCTGGGGGGCTTGGCGGGGGCTGGGGGGCAGAGGGGAAATCCACTCGCTCCCCCTTGATCCCTTGTGGAAGGTGGTTTGGGGGGGAGAGAAGCAGCCTGGGGCTCCGGCAAACAAAGCTCTGCACTTCCAAGCAGCAGCTGGCAAAGTGGAGAGAATTAAAAGTTTGTCTCTGGTCCCAAACAGCAACCAACCAAGCAACTTTCTCTGCCTAGTTTCTCCCCCCTCCCATAGCCACCCCGATCTGCTCCATGCCTGCACAGCCCTCCTGCAGCGACACCCCGAAACCCAGCTCCTGGCTTGTGGGTTGGTGGCGGGGAGCTTGTTTTAAGGTGAAAATGTCTCCCAGGGATGTTCCTCCAGAGCCGTTTCCTAGAGACAAAGCTCTTTTTTTTTCTTTTCAGGTGGGTTTTCTTTTTCTCCTTGAAGGCTCGCATGTAAAGCTGGCTCCGTGGGCACTCGCCTTCACTGGGGGTTGGCGTGGACATAACTTGGCCCTGAAAGTCTCTGACACCCCGATTGAGGGTTTTTTTTATGGAAGTCACATTGTGTAGGTGATTCCTTTGGCAGTGGGGTGGGGGTGCAATTGCTGTGGTGCCGTGACTCTGCTGCATCTTTTATGTATTTCTCTATTTTTCCGCTTCCAGAAGACACCTCCTCAGCTCCTATTTTGTCTGGGTCTCCCCCCTTCCTTGATGCTGCGAGCTTCGACCATCTGGAGACCTCTGGAGCTTTGGCAGTTGCGCTGAACGGAGTGCGTTTCACCCTAAAAAACAAAACTCCTGCTTGGATCCAGCATGATTCCCTGGCAGGGTACCCTCAGCGGCTGTGAGATGGAAGAGATCGCAGGGTGGGAGCGAGTCCTGCTGAGAGGAGAGAGAAGTTGGGGCATGTGAGGCTTGATGAGCGAGCTGCCGAGAGGGTCCAGCGGAGCTGAACCCGGCATCGCAATCGCGGTTTTAGCTGTCATTTTTTATCCCCTGGTTTTAGCCTGTGCGTGGGGGGAGCAGTCTCCCCTCCAGCAAAGCGTTGCCCAGTCCCTTGGCCTCTGTTGGGAACCAAGTTCAGCCACAATAAAAGAAACTCTCCTGCGCTGGGTCCAGTCAGGAGCCATGAAGAAACTCCAGTTGTCAGCTGAGCTGAGCAAGGCGGAGGACTCCTGCCGCTTGCCCGACAGCCCTTGTGGGATGCCAGGCAGAGCCAAAGGCAGCTCACCAGCCCCGGACAAGGGGGACAGGGGTCCCGGACTGGATGCCACAGCCCAGCTGCCCAAGAAGCGGAAGCGCTGCGGGGTCTGCGTGCCCTGCTTGAGGAAGGGCAACTGTGGTGCCTGCTACCACTGCCTGAACCGGAGAACCAGCCACCAGGTCTGCAAGATGAGGAAGTGTGAGACTCTCAAGAAGAAGAAGTCAGTGCTTCTCAAGGAGGTAGGGGTCCTGCTGGGAGTACAGGGAGGGCCTGATGGGCATGCATGGTCCAGAATGATACCACAGGCTCAGCTTTCTTCACAGGCTGCTGTCTCCATGGGTCGCTACCCCCTGTGTCAGCTTTCCTTCTCTGGGAGCGGGTGTGCATGGGTGGAACTCTCCAGCACAGGGTATTTATGGAGGTGAAGGGGCACGTGAGGAAATAAATGCCTTGGGATGGGATGCGACCATCCAGTTCAGCCTGGCCCATGGAACATCCCACTGTCAGGCCCCTGATGTGTCACCTGCAGGGCTGGAAGAATGTGGGGGGTTGTGCTTTCTTCTGCCATGGGGGTCATGGCCTGCTTCCTTGGATATCTCAAATGCATTTTAATACCCCTTGCACAGGGGGTACACTGGCAGCCCTTGTCCCCCTGCCTTAATGTGCCAGCTTCGGGTGCTTTTGGTATCTTTGTTACAGGGCTGTAGGTTGTAGCTGTGTTGGTCTAAGGACATAGGCAGGCAAGGTTCTTTGGGTGAATCTGATATCTTTTATTAGATCAACTTAAATAGCTGCAAAAAAAATGTTTGCAAGCTTTCAGGTTTAAAACCCCCTCATCAGGCTGAGGAAGTTTCTGCAATTGGTGTGTGCTCTTCCTGGATGGAAGAAATAGTAAAGAAGCCAAAGGCTGGGCTGGCATGCATACAAGATAGGCAGTCAGTGAAGATGGAACTTGAGGAGTCAGTGGGTGAGAGACGGGCTCGGGGGGGGGAGAAAAGGGGGACGAATGTAGCAGTTAAATAGTGGAGAGGTACCTGGGGAGTCAGATGTCAGGCAGGTTATAATGTGTCATGAATCCGATGTCTATATCTAGTCCATGATTTTTAGTGTCCAGAGGGTTGATGAAGTGGAGTTCGTAGGCTTGTCTCTGGGAAGTGTTGTGTAGGTTTCCTTTGAGGATCAGGACTGAGAGATTGGAGAGAGAGCAGTTGTCTTGTGAGAAATGTGCCCCCACCGGTAATTGGGTATTTCTGTCTTTGATAGATTTCTGGTGTGCGTTCATTCTGGTGTGCAGTTGTTGTTTGGTCTCTCCTACGTATTGTCCATCAGGGCATTTGGTGCATTGGATGAGATATATTACATTTGTAGGGGTGTAACTTTAAGTATCTTGGTATCTTTGGCCAGCGTGCCTTGTTGCTGTGTGACATGGTTGATGGCGTACTTTTTGGAGTAGGGTTTGGACTTGTGTGGGGTGGTTTGCATAAGGATGAGCCTGCTTCGGGCAGGTGGTTGGACTAGATGTGACCTTCAGAGGTTCCTTCCCAGCCCTGCTTTTCAGTGCTTCATGGAATAGAGCCCTTTGGGTTGTAGTGGGCATAAATGGGGCCGAGTCCATTCTGTCTGGGTGGAAAAGTCAGAGAGACTGTGCCATATTGTGGAGGTAAGTGAAAGAGGGCTGTGGGCTTTGTGCCTCCCCAGTGAGGAGTTTGAAGGGTTGAGTGAGGCTCACGCCTTTCCCACATCACTTTGTGGGGTGTTAGATGGGCCTCAGAGTCATCTGAACACAGATGATACCGGCTTCTGTGTCAGCATCTTCTCTTTCCCACAGGGTGCTTTGCCTTGGCCTATGTGAAGGGAGCACAGGTTTGCAGAGGGTGTGAAAGCTTCAGCCACCACTTCTGTGACTTGATGGAGCCCTTCTGCAGGACATCATCAGTGTTCAAAGCACTTTGCTGCAGCTGGGGTGAATGCTACTGTGTGCAGTAGTTAGGGGAGAAGCTAGAGAGCCTCTGTCAGCCCTCATGCTTCAGGGTATTTGCTGATTTTGTACTGGGGTCAGGAGGATTATTTTTCCCCTCCCTGCTGTATTATTGTGTTGGATGTCCTTTTGGGGGGTGCAGGTGTGCAGGGATTGCCTGAGTGCATCAGATCTGGGGTCCAGCTTGTTCAGTATCCTGTCTGCGGGTCATCCCCCCTCCTGACGGGAAGGTACAAGAAGCCTTCCAGGAGTCATCGGTGGTGGGAGTGAGATTCTGGATGAGATGCCGTTCTGGGGTGTGCGCAGATGGTCACGCTGTGCTAAGACCTAAGGTGTTGCTTGGAGAGAATTCCTGCGTCATCTCTTCTGTGGCAACCGTGTGTGTGCAG